CCCTGTTGACTATAATAGACAAATATTAAACAAGGTGTTATTCTTGGATAATAAACACATTAACTAACAGATACCTCCCTTCACAGATGTTAATCACTTTCATGCCCATTAAAACTAATTGCATCTCGCTATTATTACATCAACGCATTATCATATTTACACAACTTATTAATGTTTAACCCATTGATGAAATCAGACATCATATAAAGATAGGAATTCAAGCTACGTGCGTCTTTCATCGCTGTCCCACATCACTGACCCAAATAATAAATCCACTGATGTACATTACTATGTCGGCAGAACAGACAGCACATTGCAGTATTATATCCCACTGTGAAATAAATAATATTGCTGACCTGTACAACCCCTAGCTGCTTATAGCTTTGTTTGAATGATGATAAAGTTATATAACCTCTAAAGTGAAAAATATTTGCTGTGTTGAAGAAACAATTAACTCTCTTGGGTTCAACTGAGAAAAAACTGATAGCAGTGGAATGTTTTTTTTCAATGAAAGTTGATAAAGGTTCAGATTTGTTTCAAAAAAGCTGCATACAAATTGGATTACTGGGATAATGATGAACATTGCTATATGATGGCTTGATGGCCTTGGTTATTGTTTCACTGTGTGAAAAATAGTGGAAATAGTCTCTCCCTGTCATCTGAAACTTATTCACCTTATAATATAACCATTGTTCATAATAGAACACTTGACATTATACATACTGTAACTTTCTAAAATCTGATACTTGGAGTATGATGTATAATTTTTTTTTCTCCCAAAAATTCAACAAATACATGCACGTGATTGTACTCAAATATTTTGGTTGGTATTAAATGTTGGTCATTTATATGAGGGACATTAAGGTTAACACATTTAATGTAATATTATTTTTCTTCATTCTTTACTTTACTAATGAGTCCAAGGAGTACATAATTTTAATGAACTGTAAACCCCTCTCCCCATATTGGTGTTTGAATTAACAATCATGGTGTATGTCTTTGTGTGTTAGTATTAGTCATAGCATATATCTTCTTGGCTATGTTTGTATCCTCAACAATTTTCAATGGTGTTTAGCTGAGCACCCCTCTCAGAAGAAAGTGTTGAAAATTTGTCTCGCTACGTGACATATTAGAGGCATATTTTACAATAAACTATTGTTTTATGAAACAACATTTTTACAAAGAACAACAAACACAAAAGTTAACAAAATATGCATAATTTATTACAATATTATTTACATACCATCAGAATTTATGACTTAAACATTATTAGAAATGTCATCATTTTCAAAAGGAAAGGTGTTTTGGTGAATGTGACCCCTCCCCAAAATCATGCAAAATTAGGGTGTGGGCACTTGACCAGACATGAGCGATAACACAGTTCCCAAGGGTTGAATCAGTATTTCTGTGCATTAAATTCAAAAGCACCCCAATACAAGATAAATGTCTTGCAATTGGTTAAATCTGGTTAATAATAGTCTTGTCCTTGTTTGCCTTGTTATACATTAGCTGATATACTGTGGAATACTTTATTTTCGCTGGAATTAATTTTCGCTGAAAAGGCTTTTTGGGCGTTTTGTATGAAATTTATTTTCACTGATTTTTGATGAGTTTAATGTGAAATATAGGAAAAAAAGTATATTCGCTGGATTTTATTTTCACGGAATCTTCCCTTCAGCGAAAATAGCGAAAATAAATTCCAAACGAAAATAAAGTATTCTACAGTATTTATGGAATGCAAATAATGGCCAGACCTACCAAAAATCGGCATCACAGCGAAATCTGTTTTTAATTCATAGAAGTAAAACCTAGCTCTCCAAACAAATCTGAATTTTTTTTATAAGTGCTGGGCCTAAATAGTTTTTTAATGTTCTTTATTTCAGTTCAGAAAAGTATCACTTGTTTGATCACAATTGTAACACGTTCACTAATGAAGTAGCACAGTTTTTAACTGGACAATGTATACCATCACAAATAACGTCTCTGCCAAAGGAGGTGCTAGACACGTAAGTAGTGGATTTATAGATATTACATTATCTGCATTGTCTTTTATTTATGCATACAATACTTGAAACTGTTAAATGCTATTTTTAAATTAATTGTGCGGAGGAATGTGTCAAAAAATAGACTGTCAGGATACATTGAAGAGACTCAACAAGTATTGCAAGTTCCTGCTAACCATCACAATAGACCTGGCTCACCATTACAATAGGACTGGTTTACCATTACAATATGACTGGCCCACCATTACATTATTACTGGCTTACCATCACAATAGGACTGGCTTACCATTACAATAGGACTGGCTTACCATTACAATATGACTGGCTTACCATTACAATAGGACTGGCTTACCATTACAATATGACTGGCTCACCATTACAATAGGACTGGTTTACCATTACAATAGAACTGGCTTACCATTACAATAGGACTGGCTTACCATTACAATAGGACTGGCTTACCATTACAATAAGACTGGCTTACCATTACAATACGACTGGCTTACCATTACAATATGACTGGCTTACCATCACAATAGGACTGGCTTACCATTACAATAGTACTGGCTTACCATTACAATAGGACTGGCTTACCATTACAACAGGACTGTTTTACCATTGCAATAGGACTGGCTTACCATTGCAATAGGACTGGCTTACCATTGCAATAGGACTGGCTTACCATTACAATAGGACTGGCTTACCATTACAATAGGACTGGCTTACCATTACAATAAGACTGGCTTACCATTACAATAGGACTGGCTTACCATTACAATATGACTGGCTTACCATTACAATAGGACTGGCTTACCATCACAATAGGACTGGCTTACCATTACAATAGGACTGGCTTACCATCACAATATGACTGGCTTACCATTACAATAGGACTGGCTTACCATCACAATAGGACTGGCTTACCATTACAATAGGACTGGCTCACCATTACAATAGGACTGGCTTACCATTACAACAGGACTGTCTTACCATTACAATAGGACTGGCTTACCATTGCAATAGAACTGGCTCACCATTACAATAGGACTGGCTTACCATCACAATAGGACTGGCTTACCATTACAATAGGACTGGCTTACCATTACAATAGGACTGGCTTACCATTACAACAGGACTGTCTTACCATTACAATAGGACTGGCTTACCATTGCAATAGGACTGGCTCACCATTATAACAAGCCAATAGACTGCTTGGCTCATTCTTACAATAGATGATTGTTGAGGTTTGATCTATTACTTTTTTTGTCAGGCCACTAGGTCAAATGATAAAACCGATGATAGATGCAATGCAGGTCACGCCAGTTGGTGGACAACCAATAGGAATGCCTCAGCAAGCAGCACAGCAGCAGGAAACAAACAAAGGAACTGAAGCCCATGGAGGGACTGATCCCAAAAGTGATGCAAGAACACCTGCAGCACAGACTGGCCATGCAGTATTACCTTCAGAAGTATATGACAGGACTGCAGCCAGAATGGAAGCAGCAAATATTGCATCTCAGTACATTGGGGATAGAGCATTTAGTGCTCTTCAAGATGATCCTGAAACTTATAGAGGGTTTGAAGTCAGTCAGTCATCGCTGGTTTTATTTAAAGAAGTTGATGTAAGTTTTAATTTTTTGAAATTCTAAATTGTGTGTGTATGCATCAAATGCAATTTACTTGAGTAACTGAAACTGTGAGTATACTAGTTTTTCTAGTGCATCCCAAATAAAAGCAAATATAAACCAAAAATTGCAAGTGTTGTATACAGAATCATTAAAATATGACTTATTTTACATAATGTATGCACTAACTATAGAGCAATTATTGAATGATCACATACATGATTAGGTTTTGATATAGCACTTATCTAATAAATTTATTTCGTTATTCTACAGATATCTTAATATCAAATAGTGTTCTGTTTTAGAATATAGAATATAATAGAATTCATGTTCAAGTAATTGATTTTTCTTTATGACAGGTGGAAATCCAAGTTTCAAGATTAAAAAGTAGTTTACCAGATAATTTTCTTTCTATGGAGGAAATAAAATGGTTAGACCAAATAACTGAATACTTGCTAGCAGAGCCGAGAACAAAAGACAGACCAGCGATGGAATCTGTCCCAATTATAGGTATGTATAGCATTATTTGCTTTTAACCATTGTTGTGTTTCTCTATTTTCTGACCAGATGGAGTCTAAAAATTTGTTGGGTTTTATTTGTGTGTACATCCAAATTTATTCAATTGATACCAATGCAAGATGATTTGTAATTTGGAATGAGTCGAGGCATTTCCTCGAATATCTCCTGTAAATTTATACCATGCAGTGTTTTACATAATAGTCTCGAGATCCCACTGAAATTATATGAATAGTAATGCAACTTAGAGTAATATTAAAACGTCATTTAATCGGTTTCTAATGTGTAACAGCTTTGTCAGATCGTTTTTTCTGCTCATAATACCGTACTTCCCCCGAGTATAAGCCCCTCCTCGAGTATAAGCCTACCCTTTGTTTTTAGACATTTAACAAGTTGAAGGGATTCCCGAGTATAGGCCCAGGGGTTTTTTACCGGGCGTCGAAGACATTTATTAAAATATATGCATGTAAAAAGTGTATTTCATTGCATAATAATCGTGATTGGTACAGTAGTTTGGTTCCTGCTTTTACGAGAAAACTCCATTAATTTCAGAGTGCATGGCCGGCGAACGTACGGAACATGGTTCGCATCTTTTCTATTCTGTTATTTACTCACGATAAATCCCGATGTTGCAACACTGAAGTAATTAATCTATATTCCTTTTGAGTAGTGGTCTTAGAAACGTCAAAAATGGTCTTTCAACATCGTTTTACTTTTCCGAATAATTGTGTCCATTGAGACCTTCGTGAATGGGATGTGAATGACTAAATTATTTGTTACTGTCTGAAAACGCTCAGTTGAGAGATACAACATGGTAAATGTTGAAGGATAATTGAGATATTAGTAAAAAACTACTTCCTGTCTGAAAGAAATAAAAAAAACAAAATTTTATGTCAGAATGTCTAGTGATAAAAACAAAAGTCGCATGAGCACTAAAGTTTTTATTGGTAAAATAGGTAGCCAGTATCCCAATAAAACTACAACGAAAAATTGCAGAATGCCTAGACCCTCAGAGTCGGCTACTGAACTAACTGACCAATTTTGGGAGAAAAAATGGCGGAAGAAAAAAAAAAACTTAGATAGAACAGTGTGATTCTTCCTATCAAACAAATAAAAAGCTGAACAAAAAAAAATGTCATTACAAATTTGGCAGTATCATAAGCCCTAATCAATTTTTACCATTTACTTTGTATTTTAGATAAAATGTTGATGGAGTCTGGACTTGCCTCACAGGAGCTTGTTATCGTAGTGGACATCCTACAAGCAATGGCGTTACGAAGTGAACTATTAGATTCATTAACTACGGGGCATACATTGATGAAATGGATCAATCAAGTTAGCATGTCATCACAGTCATATTGTGAGGAATTATTACTTTCACTTACCAGAATGGTAAGTCAAATTTTTTTTACAGCAAGTCTCAGAAGTGTTGGGGCAGCCAATTTGCAAACGGTTGGCTTTCGAATCTCGCTGGAGCTATCTTGCGGTCACGCCCACTTAAGTCGAATCTATGTAACAGTAGGGGAGGATCCTCATACTTTAGGAGCTAATCAGCAACGGTTTTACAGTTGGATGGCGATTTCGCTTTGAAATATACCAGGGAAAGTGTTCTATGCTCTTCGTGTCCACACCAAAACGACGAATGAGGTCGATTTTTTCAGCGGTTGGCTTAATGTTACCCCAACGGATCGTTTGAGTGTGAAAGTTTGTTATTTTCTCCTTGATTTGTAGGAAACTGTTTCTCAACTTCTCTATTTAGTGTCAAGCAGTGTTCAAGATGGGTTACCCTCATATATTAAATATTGGTGTATTAATCGCATTTATAATATTATCACGCCAGCTGACTGTGGCCATTTTCGGGCTCAAATCATTCAGGGGAATCAAGACATGTACCAGCCTGAGGATGCGTAAAAAACTATGTCCCCTAATGCAATATAGACTCGCCAAGAGTGGACGCGGTTACAAACCGTCCCCTACTGTTACATAGATTCGTCTTCCGCAAGACGGCTCCAACGAAATTTTGAAAGCCAACCGTTTAGTCAAAACCCAAGCAGTTAGCCAATTTGCTAGCGAGTTTGCAAATTGGCTGCCCCAATACTTCTGAGACTTGCTGTAATATCAAACTTTACTACAAGCTTTTTTCAATATGTTCTCTCAACCAATGTGATGCAAACCAGTCCAGTGATCGGGAGTTCAAAGCCGTTGTAGCATGGTGCCTGCTCTAATAAAATTTAGTGAAAACATGCACACCATACAAAGTGTATTTTGATGTTCTGGATGTTGATTTTGAGTGCCTAGTATGTGTGTGTATATTAATTTATTTATCTAAGAAATAAATAACCTATTTTAAAATTTGAGTGCTTTAAAAATGGGCATATTATACAATTTTAAATCCAAAATTCTAATGTGGATAATGCACCTATACACTGCCAACCAAAAAAAAATTATCATAGCTTATCTTTAAATGTTCATATTATAATATTTGATACATCAATAAAACATTGCAAAATATCTGTAGAGGCTGTCTAATTTATGTACTTGTCTCTGATACATGTTTATGTTTTACTGTTTCAGCTTTGTAACGTGTGTCATTGTAGAAAAGGCTTTGGTTGGTCAACGTCAACAGCTGATTGGCTGCTTGATTCTAGAAATACTTGCAATGGTAGAATTATCAATAGATTACTTGTTTCTAATTTATTAAGTGGTAGTGTTAAACTCTGTGAAGCTGCTGCCTCCTGTATGCACAACCTGGGACAGTATAAGGTGAGATATCCTGGGTGTTTACTGGAGTGTCAATTGGCCACTCAACCTCTAAATCTTGTAAACTACTGTATTATGAATGGCGCACCCTCTGTTTTAAAAGTTTCATTCTCCAAGCATTCAGAAAAGCTTTATTGAGGTCTTAGGACTGTCATGTGACATATTTGATTGTCAAAATTTGCACACATTGTTGGAAATATTCAATAAGCAGTCAGATTTCTTTCTTTAGCCAGTCTGATTGCTGGTGATCACTTTGGCTACCCAATTTGATTGTGTGTTTGAATTCCCATTGCTTACACCTCTGAATGGGTGTGTTCTAACACTTGTGGATTCGCAGAAATTTGCGTCTGTTACGAATTACTATGAGCTGCAGTAATTCCAAAGAAGGTCATATCACTAACGAAGTTTGAGAAATAAGGCAGTATTCTGGCCTATCAGACATTCAAATATTTCACATAAAGGCATCACCCAAAATCTCTGTGAATGATTGCAAAGTACAACTGTAACACAATAGTTTTTCCTGCCAATGTTTTAGTGCATCATTTCTTATGTGTTTTTCTATAAAATTTTCTTTGCTAACTTTGAAAAAAATTTACTATTGCCTACAGGTATATGTTAATAAATGGAGACCTTTAAACAGAGCATAAATCATACTCCATTTGCTAAGTTAATTCATGAATATTTATATATGTAAAGTGGATTTGAGTAACTTGTGTTTCTATCCACCCACGGTTACTAAAAAAACGTGTACTAGTAACCATGATCCACCCCAATGCTTGCCAATCTAATCGGATTGTAATCTACCAAACTTGTGTTGATGCCTGTAATTCAGTTCAGGCTTACATTATATACTATCTTTTTCAGTTATTTGATGACACAGCTGTTGAATTAGGAAGTGCATTGCTACAATGTCTGAATGGTGATCTGGATGAAAATACATGTAAGTACTTTGTAAGAGTCATTATCATTGGCTCATAAACTGACAACACACAATAGATAGCCAATCAGGATGAGTGTAACAAAAGTACATGTAGTGGAGATAACAATGTTCTTTCTGGTATCGAAGTGGATGTAAAATATCATGTGATTTAAACTGACAGGTGTTCATCACTATTCATTGCTTGAATATCTTTGATTTTAATAATTTCATAATTTTTATGGAAATTACTTTTAAAAAATGCCTTATTATTTTGTTTAATTTTGTCCACAGCTTACTATGCCCTGTCAGCCCTGTATCACTGTATGGAGTGCGGAGAAGTTGCATGTCTTACCAACATGTTAGGATTGGATTTGGGAAAATATGTAAATAAATCCGATCGAGTCAGGAAAGTCTGCGCTGATATTGATGAAGTATGTAAAGATTAGAGTCTTTGCTGTATAATGCATACATTTTATATGAAAACTTTTAAAATTTTTGATCAAAAATTAGCATTTGAGATTTCAGGATATTTTCAATTTTCAACAATTAAAACTTGAAGCAAAATGTATCAACATTTTTGGATCAAAATTATCATTGCAGCTTCTGAACATACTTGTGTATCACTATTCCTAGGCATAAATTTAATGCCTTTGATTGGAATATCAGTCCTTTTGACATGCTCCCATTGTTTTGGATCTAAAAATTCTATCTCTTCACAGTTTTGACCTCAAAAAACTAAATTACAGTTGCTACAAAATGTTTCCTGTTTGTATTAACACCAGTGTGTACAATTTAGCTTAGCAAACAGGACTATGCATACTAGACGATTGTGATACTGTATTTTGGAGAAGGTTAAATTTGTTGATTTTTGTAAATCCTGAAAGCCTTCATACTTTACTGTCATTTGCCAAATTTATTTTTCATAACTTTAAACAGAAAGAATCATTGTTATGTATTTTACTTTGATATGGCGTAATGTTATGTATTTTTCTTCTTTTAGTTATTGTATTTAATCGATACTTTTATTTTAGCATAAACTCAACTGATGACTACTGTAATTGGGCAGTAAGTGAATCAATTCTGCCAATTTTGTAAATTTAATTTATTACAATGTATAGAATGTAATTTACATGTATAGTTTGTAAAGCTAGAGAGAACTGTCTCTCACTTTGTAAAGCACTAAAGTCACACCATATCGTGTTGATGTGAGTCCTGTGCAACGTGTGCCATGTAAGTAAAATGCAGCATTGTGTACACAAAATTATATATGTAACATATGTTGCACAACGACTTTAATTGAACAGACAAATACTCACCTTTCCACAAGTTTTTATTAGTCCCCGTTCGGACGTAGTCCGAAAACGGGGACTTATGTTTTGCCCCGTGTGCGTCCGTGCGTCCGTAATCACCTGTATCTCGAACATGCATGGACCGATTAAGTTCAAACTTCACTCATACATCACACATTATATGGGACATATGCACATGCATTTTTTTCATGATCCGATTAACGATAGCCAAATGGCGGCCGTTTTAAGGCCAAAAATGCATTGAAATCGCACATTTTCACCATTCCGGACCCGGATCTCTGTTATGCATGGACGGATTTTGTTCAAATTTGGTACATACATTAAACATAATAGGACCTTGATGCACGTCATTTTTTTTTTGGATCGGGTTTGAAATGGCCGACTTGCGACCATTTTGTTTTAAAGAATTCAGTTCTGGATCCGTATCTGAGACATGCCTGGATTGATCGAGTTCAAACTTCACACACACAAGGTACATCATGTCACAAATATGTATGTGCATTTGTTTCATGATCTCATTAACGATAGCCAAATGGCGGCCGCTTTAAGGCCGAAAATGCATTGAAATCGCACATTTTAACCATTCCGGACCTGGATCTCAGTTATGCATGAACGGATTTTGTTCAAATTTGGTACATACATTAAACATAATAGGACCTTGATGCACGTCATTTTTTTTTGGATCAAGTTCGAAATGGCTGACTGGCGGCCATTTTGTTTTAAAGAATTCAGTTCTGGATCCGTATCCGGACATATCTGTATTGATCAAGTTCAAACTTCACACACACATGGTACACTGTACATCATGTCACAAATAGATATGTGCATTTGTTTCATGATCCGCTTAACAATAGCTGAATGAATTAAGGCCGAAAATGCATCAAAATCACATATTTTCACAATTCCGGAACCGGATCTCAGTCATGCATGGATGGATTTTGTTCAGATTTAGTACAATGTGTTGTACATATACAGGTGCATTTTGGTCATGATCTGCTTTGAATGTATATGTCACTCAAATATGAATGGAACGGGGACGTGTCATTGACAATGACTTGTTTACAGTACTGTTTTTCGTCTACACAATGTTTTCTATTCTAAATACCATTCATACAGTGATTTTAACATACTCTTTCACACAAGTTTATTTCATCATAGACACACATATTGAAAGCATGTTTTCTGTCTATTACTAGTAGCCATCAAGAGCAAAATGTAGCTTGTCTGAGTTTCAGATGAATTGCTATTATTCTGTGGAAAGGTGAATTTGTTCTTGCTATATCTGATTTTGTCTAATGTTAATTGGTGCCTATTTATCATTAAAATGAACCTTTTCAACTCTAGTTACCTCTATAATAAATGCATAGGTATGATAGTCAACAACACAGTACATTTAACTGATTGAAAATGCTGTCAACCATCTGTAGATTCTAGGCATTATTTGTAGAGATCTTGGATACTTATAAAAGTACATAAGTTCTAGACATTATTTGTAGAGATCTTGTTACATATGAAAGTGCATAAATTCTAGGCATTATTTGTAGAGAACTTTGGATACTTATAAGAGGGGAGGCAAGGGGGGTAGCTGGTACAGTTTTACGGGAAATAAAAAGGGCTTTTTACAATTTACAAGGAAAAAAAATACGTGTTTACAGTGTTAAAAAATGGAACATTGAATGGTCTGAAGAGCTCTCCGACTCAAATTCTCCGCCATTGCTGCGCCGTGTGTAGAGATGCACGCGCATATTATCCTCGTAATGCTCTTCATTCGGTTAGAGGGCCTTTTACGTCTCGACATTCAATTTTGTAGTGAATTGTGTCATGTAGTCGTTTTACAGATTTAAAAATGTAATTTCCCTGGATTATTCTTTACGATTTTTTTATTTGGATGTAAATTCTTATACGTACCGAGAAAAATTACACATTTTTACAGTGTACGAAAAAAATATTTGATTGATTACGCTGTACGTCTAGCCTGTGATTACAGAATTACGGAATTTATTTTTTCAATTTACGTTGTACGAACAAAAATATATTGCAATTACGTTAAACGAAAATAACCCTTGCCCCCCCCCCCCCCCATCTTATAAAAGTGCATAAATTCTAGGCATTATTTGTAGAGATCTTAATAGATTTTAGTTCTAGGCTACTTATCATTAAGAATACATCAAAGTAGTTGAGAATATCTGACACAACCAGTCACATGGCATCATCATTTCTACATTTCGCAAGAAGGCATAATGTATATAGTGCAATGGAGAATATTTTGGAAAATTGGAAACAAATTGCTTTAAAATGGAACAGTTTGGTGATGGGTTGGTTAAATTATTCATTTATGTTATCAGACTTTGATGATATAGGGACCTGCACATTGCATACAGCTTCTTTTTAAGAGTTGCATAGCAGATGATAGATATGACAGTGTCTGTAACAATTTACTCGTATGTAATTTGTATCTGTGAATCCATAGACCTTAAAAAACAAGGTCTATGGTGAATCTGAGTTATGGTACTGTGCATTTTTATGCATGTTTCTATCATACTTTCATAGTTCTAGCTATTTTACTAAAATTTTAAATTATATCACACTGATAAAAAATAATATATTAATATAATAATATATAACAAAAAGAATTAGAATTAAAAATACAAGATGAAACAAAATGCGTTTTTATCTTCTGTTTATACAATCTACTTTTAACCCTTTCACCACACCTACAGTAGCCTTTTTAAAAAATATTTCATATTGTCATAAAATTTTTGAATACTTTTGCCAATTCTTGGGGGGGGGGGAGGGGTGTTCTGTTACTGGCCCACATGTAGGTATTGAGTTCTAAGCAAAAGCATATGATTTGTAAACAAAGACATGCTATGGCATTCTGTCGCATATGCAGGTAACAACTCCCTCACTTTAAGTTGATGGTGAAATTTACAAAAAATGTAATAAAATAACATTTTGGATGACTTGCAGTTGAGTGGTGGGAGGGTCAGTTGTTACATGATCCATGTCAATAATGTGTACTGATTTTAATTAGGAATTTTTAAAAATGTTTTATTTGAAGTAATACCATACATCATAAACCATGGTTCAGACTTATAGTGACAATAGCTGTGATTTTGAACATTGTTTTGTTTACAGAAATCTACATAAAAATGACCAAATATCACGGAATCATTGTCTTAGACACAATTGTATAGACAAAGTGATTCTACACAAGGCTAATGTCACGTGATATGCAATGTGAAAACTAAGGGTCGAGTAGTCTACATTTTTGTTGAGTGGTCACGTGATGGAACCGTAGAAAATTATGACACACAACGCTGTTATGAGAATTGGCACATAAAATCACCAGTGACAGCCACCAGAGAAAGACTTATCCTCTCAAATTGGCGATGTATTTGAAATTTCGCCTATTGCCTCAGTAAGATGATGTACCTAACTATATTATTTAGTGTCAAATAAAATATACTGTACTATAAAAGTAAAATATTGTTTTCCGATGCTGATGTACTGTATGTGAAGTATCGGTAAATATGTGTTGTTATTACCTTGTATTTTTGTGGGCGGGATAATGATGGCGATTTGCTCATTTAATTTGTTGCTGTATTACCTTTTAGTTTCAAATCATTTTTATATTCAGGTTATTTCATCTTCCAAATATACCACTTCAATGTACACATTGAGATAATGCTACAAATTTGAAAAGAAAAATAGGTCATGAATAAACAGTATAGTGGTTGCCGGTACGTATATGTGTCTTTTGTTGACTACAGAGAATCTGAAAAGAATATGCCCAATTTACTGGTATCACAGTTTGCAGCAAATATTATATTCAGGGTAACTCATTTTAACTATGGGGGGGGGGGCTGGATGTTTTTGAGGGAAAACAAAATTCACAGGCTCAATACACAATAGTAAGTAAAAAAAATTGCTCTCTCACCAGTTCTTGAAAAAAAAACTTTATTGGAGAAAAAAATTATGTTCAGACAAGCTCTCAGGAGAAAAGAATCTCTGTCTTTGTCGAAGAACTAAATATGCGATTGAATAATTTCCTCCAACTCTCTCCTAGATATCAAATGGATCACGTATTAGTTCCAATTTTCAAATTCGCATGACAATATATGGATTCAGTTCTGTCACTTCATGTAGATGTTAATGTTCTGCATGTAAGTCTCGTGGCTATAAATGACAACCTCCTTGATTGCTCTGATGTAGATACTGTACTAGGCGGGCTTTTATTTTATTTGTTAATTTTAACTAAATTTCCAAATTCTTATTGAAAACTACCAGATTTGATAAATAAATTGTAGGTAAATGAATGAAAATGGTATTAGTTGATAAAATGTTCAAATTTTGTGTTTTTTGGAACAAAAAAAAAATAAAATAACCACCAGTCATTCTAATTTCATGCCTAAAACAATTAAGTGTCTTACCTTTGAGCAAAGTTCATGCAAAACTTGTTCAAAGAAATAGAGAAAAACACAGTCCCTCTATAGGGACTGTGAGAAAAATAAAAATAAAAAAAGACGAATGGGTCTGTATTTAAACCCGCAAGGTATGATGAACACAGAATCAGCCTAGCCTAGGTACGATCGTCAAACAATATGTTTTAGTAGAACATGACAGGAAATCTTTAAATATCGTCGAAACAAAAAAAAAACATACATATATATGTTTTGCTTTTGTATTTATACCGGTAAATTGCAACGTCATTCACCTTGGAAATTCAAGATGGCAGTATTCGCGTTTCTCCGTGCACTACGTAAGTAACCCTTGATAACAATATGGCTTCATTTCGAATGCAAAGTCAATGTTGCCAAAAATTGCAAAAAAAAAAAAAGTTTTACTGAAAATGTCCTATATACAGGTATGATAGTGCTTTATAACCACGGACACTAGCGGTGAAAACTTATGTAAACATTTGCAACGAAACTAGATGTACCTTGCGATTTTTCTTGCAAATAACATATGTATAGCGCTTTCTACGGGCGAAATATGCAACTGCGATTGTTTTTATATCTGTCGTGTGGTGCCACCATCGTTCAATATTTATGATACTGTCGTTTATGTTTTGTAATGAGTATTCCATATTGTAAACTACGCCGCCAACGTTCCATATGTACACCATATTCTTTTTTACGTCATTCAAATTTTGTGACTGCGCCACCAACGCCAACTGTTTAAATTCATTCGTTTATCTCCCTTCTCGGATAATAAAATAGCGCCACAAGTGTCAATGTTAACAACTTTTGTTTTTGTTGCCTTTATCATAACTGCTAGATATCACCACCAACGAGCATATTATTGACTTCTTTTGTTTTGTTATAAAATCCGGAAATTACACAGCACCACCAACGTTTATAAACTAAATGTTATCGTTTTTATCGGGATACGTTTATTGTTACATCGCCATCACCGTTTATGCAGCAAATCCCTATATCGTTGTTATGGCAAATGTTGTTTTGTTACAGCTGGTGGTCCGAAAACGCGGATCAGTACAATTCCACGATGCTCTGTCATTTTAAGGATGAAATCTGGAAGTAGTTAAGGTCAGATTGTGAGTTGATGTGCGCATATTTCTGAATGGTTTGGCGCGAAAAAGCAGACGAAGGCAGAATGCCTGTTCACGTTTCAGTATTTTACCCTGGCTTTTTGCTAAAATTGTGTTTCTTCTCACAGTAACTACAGCTGACATCAGATGACAAGAGTCGGGTTGTGTTCGTACATTAGCTACTGCATCTAGTACGAGATACTTTGAGATTTGTGGATTTTTTGGTAGAAATTCAAATGTAAGTATTGACCGGAACTGAAAGCTTTGAGCTCGGGCCCAGCTCGGGTAGATCATGGGACGAATGGACCGGATGTATTTTTAATACCTGACGGCAACTAGCACGAGGGGATTCACCGCTTATTGTCTGTGGCTTCTTGAATCCATGACTCAGAATTCTTCCATATAAATATTTTGGGTGAATTTCATGTTCAGTTTTCCTAGTTAGTGTTTGACCTTTTCTGTACTGAGTGTTCCATTACTTTTCGCATGTGGCAGGCGGATTCCCGGCCAGGTTTTCCTCGCCTTATTTATTCATATCAAGAAGTTATCAGCATATTTTCTAATTTTGATAAATTTGATGGTGAAGTAATTTCCATTATCAATGGCGCTATCAAAGCAATGGATTGCGTGTTTACCTCAAATCACAGGGAGCCAACTATAATAAACTGTACCTATTTGGGGGGCGGGGGTTATCGACTGGTAATATATATTTCTTACTAGATACCAGCCGATACACCCTCCACCCCCGCTCATAGATACTATGTACAGTTCCTGGGCTCCCTGTGCTCAAATCAGTTGCTTCTCCCTAGCAGAATGTTTTTTACTATATGAATATATTATTTGAATATGAACATTTAATACAATGTTTGGAAAATATGCCTACAAATAAACATGGGTGTGTATTATGCTGTATGTGATAACATTATTAGGCTATATATAGTAGTATACCCAAAACGGAAGCTAGATTACCGACAGTAGACCATCTTGGATCCGATCATAAAACAAACCATCATGCACATGTATCCTTACAATCCAGAGACCATCTTAAATCAAATCACAAAATGAACATATATTTATTTGTGACGTCACATGTGCTAAATATCAATGAAAGCAAGACATAGGTGAAAGAAATATACTAGTAGTAGTATGGCTAAAAAAGAAAATGGCTGCCAGTCGGCCATCTTTGATCTGTTTATGAAACAAACATGTATCCTAATACATGTATGTATAATGTATGTGCCAAATATGAAAGTGGTCCATAAGTCTTGGAAATATAGTAGTGAGGCCAAAGAGCATGATGGTCACCAGTTGACTATCTTTGTATAACAAATTGTCATGGACATGTATACTAACATGTATAATGTATGTACCAAATTTTAACAAATAATGACAAGGCATGTTCAAGATACCAACAATATTTTTTTTTAAATGGCTGCCAGTTGGCCATCTTTTATCGAATCGCTAAACCACTACATATGTATATGTCCCACATGAAGTACTAGGAACATGTAAAGAATGAACGAATTTGATCCTGAGGGTTCTGAAATATGACCTTAGACAGACAGTGGGCAATCACTGTTATGTTACTTGAAAGCTTGTGTACGCAATGTGAAGATTATCAAATACATAATTTTGAATGAAATCAATCAGCAAATATTTAACAGGTACTACATCACATTCAGATATGATTCACAGCATGTGTGTACAAAATGAGCGTGGAAAATAATGAGCTGTTGAATCAATCACAATTGCGTGCTGTAAAATACTATATTTTCACTCAGAATGTATTTGTTTATAGTTTATGTTCAATTCATCAAAAATCAGTGAAATTAAACTTCAAACAAAACAACTAAAATACCTTCTCAGCAAAATTTAATTCAAACTAGAAGAGAATTGAATTTGGACGAAAGGTGAGTTGGTATTTACAAATATTTATAACTAGGATATCTATTTCTGCCAGGCAATGTATTGTTTGAGTTGTACTAATGTTCCGTGATTATTAATTAATGTATTCAAAGTGTAAAGTCTTCAGTAATAACATAGTTTATAATAAACTCATATATAAAAAAAATAAGAGCATTTTTCATTTGTGTACAGTTTCTGTAAAACAAAAAAAACAAAAGTAGTTCATCATAATGTTCTCAAGATGGCGCTTCACAGGAATACCGGAAGTTAGACTCATCACTCACCGTATACAATAAGTGAAATAAATCCCTATTCAATATTTTATTTAAAATGCTTTTCATGAATCTAATAATTTTAGCTTCAACTCGTTTTGGTATAGCAAGCGTGAGTTTCAATAAATTAGTTCAGTATTCTTTTAAAGTTCAACCAATTTTGTTCGACACTGCGCATGAATCTCATGAATACACTAGGAATGTGGTTGACCGACCTCTTTCCTTTCCATCAGCCATCTTGTGAAACGTGGTTTCTCAGGTGAGGCGATTATAATAATTTTATCAAGTCTTAGACGGATATTCTTGTGGGAATTAATGTGGTAAAACACTACTGAATGTTAATAGATCGTTCTCAAACTGGTTTGTTCACGCAAATCTAAACCCTTGATGTTTTTTCCCACGTTTTACTTTCCCCATGTGCGGGCGGCTGTCATGGCGGAGTAGTAATCAACGCACATGTGGCTATGCGTGCACATGGATTCTGCATTAATCTGTTACTCAGCTATACCTACTTGCATGAAAAAACTGACACCACTGTTGACTTGCTTCAAAGAATGAGAAAAAAATGACTAGCAAGTAAATTTGACATTATGAAAAACGGCGTCAACTTGTATTTTTAAGAATTTGATGGATATTTTACTTCCAAAATACGTGTTAGAATAAAATTTAACCTGAAATTAATATGTTTAATAGTTATGAATATACTTGTCTAACTTGAGAAATACATTACTCGGCAAGATTAGCAATTGTTCAACTCTTATACCAATGACGATGAATTTATCAAGCTGTACACCAAATAGATGGAGAAATTGTTGCACTGATAAATGTTTTTATTTTAGTACGTGTTGTGAAGTGTTTGTATTGGACAGTTTATAGACTTGTTTTACTCATTACTTATTTACTATTTTATTCATTACCTTACAGGTGGTAACATAGTCCAAGATGAGGATTGTTGGTAGCAAGACGTACGTCACCCCAAGACGTCCTTTTGAAAAGGAACGTCTTGATCAAGAGTTGAAACTCATTGGTCAGTTTGGTCTCCGAAACAAGAGAGAAGTATGGCGTGTGAAACTGACGCTGGCTAAGATCCGTAAGGCTGCCCGTGAGTTGCTGACGCTGGACGAGAAGGATCAAAAACGTCTGTTTGAAGGCAAGTCATACTAAATATTGTTTCCTATTTTGAAAGATTTTATTGTAAATGGGTGTAATCACTGTAAAGTCACATGAAAGGTTGTGTGCGCAATGTGAAGAGTTCAAGCCAATCATTAAAATTTTGAACGAAATCAATCAGCAAATATTTAACAGGTACTACATCACATTCAGATATGATTCACAGCATGTGTGTACAAAATGAGCGTGGACAATAATGAGCTGTTGAATCAATCAGTTGGATTAGATCATAACCTGTGCAAGTCAAGTAATGCAATAACAGGGATGAATTTATTTTGAATACTATCATAAATAGTGTTTACGTAATCATGCCTACTTTACCAGTTTAAGTTACCGTAGTTACAATATTTTGCTGTTTTTTACCAAAGTAACAATTCAGTTTTTTACTTGTAGGTAATGCCCTCTTGAGGCGTCTGGTACGTATTGGTGTCCTTGATGAAGGCAAAATGAAGCTTGATTACGTGTTGGGTCTTCGTGTTGAAGACTTTCTGGAGAGGCGCTTGCAGACGCAAGTTTTTAAACTGGGGCTTGCAAAAAGTATTCACCATGCCCGTGTTCTGATTCGTCAACGTCACATTAGGTAAGAATATCTGTTGGTATTAAATGATCAAATCATTGTATATGTTTGTTCTCCAAGCCCAAGTTCACTGCCTCACAGGGTTTTCCTGGTACTTGTAGAATTTTTATTTTGATGTATTAGTAACTTATAAATCTGCAAGTTGATTTTTCAATGGGTCTACTGCACTCTCCTTTTTAAATTCCCGAAGTAGTCTATAGCCACATAATGTATTCACAAGTCCAAGTCTGGCTGTCAGGTCGAGATGTAACCCCCTGCCCCCACAGGACATTAATCTCGATATTTCCTTATTGGTTTTAGATGTACACATTGATTTGACAATGATAGAAGCCTTGTACTAATACAAATTTTAATTTCACCAGGAATAGCTGAAAATATTGCCTGAGTTTCTTAAAACTAAATATTCATGAAGGCCAATAAGGTTGTGCATGCACACCTCATGCCTTCAATCTACCAATGGTTGTAGGCATGAATGGTTGATGTAAACCAACTAATCCCAAGTAATTTGAGGGGAAATGATAGTGGTGTGACAGGTATGGAATATTGACTGCATACAAGAAATCTGTCTTGCCATTGCTCAACATTACTACTCCACATGGATTGTGTTAAACATAAATTCTGCTTTGTACACTACTAACCCTAAATACCGTATTTGTCTTCAATTAGGCGCCACTTTGATACACTTTCATTTCATAGTGGCGCTTATTTGTGGTTAAATTTGGGCAACTTTGTTTCAAATGGCGCTTATTTCAAGTCATTGATTTTTTTTAACTATGTTCATGCTACATTCTGGTGATACATTGTATCAACTTATTGGTAATATTTTGTACTACTGCTGTTCCTTTTCAAGGGGTAATTTAGGGCTTCAATAATATAATGCAGACAGCAAAATTTTGCAAAACAATGTTTTTATTGTTACAACATGTTAAATAAAGAAAAATCACACGATTATAAAAAAAATAATGTATCATGTAAAAAATGCATAAAAACACAGGTAAAAATAATTTAGAGAATCTTGTTTGTTGTAAATAAAGAACAAATTAACGGTGAGTTTTACTTTATTCTAAATAGACTTGGACAATTTTGTCAAGTGTCAATTTCAGTTATTTTAGTGTTGTTGTTGTCCATGGGTTAAAACCCTTCAAAGTCACTAGAGCTGCTGTCATCAGAGTTGAAATAGCGTTCAATTATTTCAGCACATGTTGGCAAATCATCATCGCTGTCGGAGCCGCTGGGTAAGTCATCATCGCTGTCGATGTCATCTTCATTTTCCGATGAAGTGTCACCTGTGATATCAACACCAAGTTGAGATGCTATCGCTTCTTCAATTTGTTGTTGGGCTTCATCGGACCTGTATATTGCGTCCTCAGAACCATCAAGATTGTTAGCTAAACCAGTAACTGCGAATGATTTTCTCAGCATGTCTGGTCGTTCATTCAGTTTCTTACAGGCATGTGCAATCCAAT